TAATATTCATACTACAATAATTCAGGAATTGAATTAAACATGGTGGCAACGGTGTTACATCAAGCCCTCACTTTGCTCAGTCTAGGGCAATGAACTCAATACAACTGGAAGGGACCCACTGTGAACGACGAGTGAGGCAAAAATATTTTTCAGGCAACCCGCTGTGTTTACGGATACCTATCTCTCTCTATCTTGTGTTGGTTAATGGGAAGCGCTCGCATAATTTGAAATTTTTTCTCGTTTTTTGCTTCTATTTAAAAGTAAACGTGATTAAATAAAAATATTCATTTAGGAAAAAGGATAATGTTGTAATCAATTATCATTAAAAAATTATTACTGATTTTTTTATTGACTTTGAAATGAAATTTCAATCTCACTCTCACAAGATCAGGAAGTCAAATGAATACAAAATTGAAATCATATATTTTTATTCAAATGTCACAATATATTGTACAGGGTGAGCGAAGCACAATGTCTCAGAACTATCAGAAGGAAAAGAAAAACGATAGAAAAAATTTGAAGAGGTTCTTGAATGGTATTGAGTGCATTTTGAGCATAATTTCGATAGGTTCCTATTCCTTCTTCCTACTTCTGTCATATTTGAAATTTTTAGGTCTCTCCTTATTACGTTTTGTCTCAGTGTCTTCACTTTCCTCCTCAATACAATATATTTTATTGATAAACCTCGAAACTTGGGAGCTGGAAGTGGTAGGCAAGTCAAAGTCAATAAAATGGGAAACTTCTTCCTTTGGACCTAAGTTATGAGCGTCCATAGATGCATCCTGAAAACAAATTACTAGCTAGTTTTTTTATTATTTTAATGAGGTGAAAACATACTTTTTTTTCATTATTAATCAACTAGGTACCTATGAGTTTTCTTATTTTCCTGGGGGAATCAGCATTTTTTGGTAACAAATGCTGAGGAAATAAAAAATATACTGGGTAAAGCATCTGCTTTCAAAAACCTAGCAGTACCTGGTATGCCTAAATAATCTGTTGGCAGGAAATGCTCCCCACAAAGCTTGCTGCTTCTATTTGGAGTCCAATTCTCTCTACGAACTACCTTTATCCATAATTCGAGAATGTCTGGTCTTTTGAATGGAAAGCTGCAACAAATAATATTACTCAATATCAATATGGAAGTATTTAACTTTGACAAATAATATAGGTATAGTTTTTGAACATATTCTGAGACTGGGAACATTGTATACCTAACTGGATGATCATTTCAAGAACTATATTTTTCAAAAATCTGAGAACAATATTCAACTTACCCATGGAATGCCCATTCCCTTTTGTTTTGTTCGTTCTTGCATCCAAAGGCGACACAATAAATCACCATTGTTTATCAATATTAATCACAAACCTTCTCAACAATCAGTTCAGTGTTCACAACAACAAATTCAGTCCTTTTGATACAACAAAACACGCCAAATGAATAGATATTTCACCTCGTATTTAGCATAAACGAAGACAATGAACTTATGTCTTCACTTTCTTGCCTGTGTAGATGAGAGAAAAAATTCCTAGCTACTTTAATTATTAGATAAAAGAAAATTTATACACCAATCCACCATTACACAACACGAGTTGGAAGAGGACAGGTATCCGTAAATCATGCTATCTCTGTTGCAGCTGCCCCTGACACACTTTGTGCTATTCGAGAGAGCGGGCGTATCCCTTCCAGTTGTATTGAGTTCATTGGTCTAGGGTCACTTGATGAAAATTGACATTAAAGTCATCTTAACAGGGTACGGACAGATCCTCGTCTCCTCTCACTCTAAAGTGTTTGTGAAACAGTTATATAGTTCCATCCTTATTCAATTCTGGGGATAAACACTAGATTTTTGACATTTGTTGTTTTTTAGGTTATATTGAGGTCACTGGCGTATCATACGTAATTTCCATATGGAATTCCTGATTCAACTATACCAAAATACAGATGAACAATCCTCGACTTTTAGAGTTTACTACTCCATCATAATTTTTGCGAGGTAGGAAATATATGAATTGTACTGAAAGCTCAATATATTTCTCCAAATGAGACTGTTCTTTGACTGTATACAAGGGTTGACTGAATTGACTGAATTGATTCTGATTTCAAACTGAGCAGAAGTTTATCTATGCGCTGAATGAGCTGAGCCTTGTGATTGAGAAATGGGGTGAAAACCTCGATGTGAGTATCTAAACTACTGTATTCATGTAATGTGTGCTAAATATATTTTCGGAAATCCAACTCGAAGAAGAATTTATGTAGTAGGCTGATGAAAAGTAATACGTAAAATGTGCAGGGAAATAAAGGATAGAATATACTTCACCCCCATGTTATACATACGTTTCTTCCGTATCCCTTAAATAAAAAGTCATATTCAAATAAGTTATTGATGAAAAAAACAAACAAGTAAGTATACGAACTTATAGGCCCGTTATTTTCACTCTTGCATCCTACATATTTTCTATTTGTGGTAGAGTAATAATTATATAAATTAATGTCTTTCGCCATATTGGATCCGTCATCTTGGATTCTCCAATTTTGACGAAATAATCATTATCTCCTACCCCGAAAACCCCCCCAGATATCAATTTTGAATAGAATCAGATCTTCATTACAAAACTTGTTCGCCAATTGATCTTCCTCAACAAGTAAATACCCTGTACATACCTATTATTAAAATTTTGAATGATTTTCTGTAGCGCCCATGGATGTGACGTGACAGCAATGTCAGGGATGCCAGTAGACGAAACTAAAGTCTCTAGATCATTAAAAAAGAATGCAGCTATGATCTGTCCGTACCCTGTTAAGATGACTTTAACGTCAATTTCCATCAAGGGACCCTAGCTCAGTCTAACGGGGAGGCGGAAGCCGCGGTTAAAGTTGCAAAGAGTTTGATTAAAAAAAAATAGGGACTTGTCTATGGCATTATTAATTGTCCTACAGGTCCACTCCCTTGCCAAATCGGTTTAGTCCAACTGAATTGCTGATGTCGAGAAAGTTAAGAACAACGTTACCGATTCTACCGAGTAAATAACAAGAAGTAGTGAATACGCAATCTTCGATTGAGACCGAGGAAAGGAGGAAAGAAAATCCTAAATGTGATTTTGATAGAAGGCATAATGCTAAAGAATTGTCAGAGCTTTCCCCTGGTGATAGTGTTTTATCACTGATCTGCGTTGTTATGGAAAAGTGGTTAAGAAATTAAATGAACCGCGATCATATCTTATTGAAACAAGTAGTGGTCATTTTCGACGTAATCGTTGGTTTTTGGTTTTAGCACCATACGCACATGTTCACTCTAGCAATCAAACCCAAACAACATTACCAGAAACGAGGTCTAGTACTTCACATGTTAACTTAGATAAGGCTGATTATGTTTAAATTTAAAATAAGTATACTGTTAACTTAGGGTTAGGTAATAAAAGGGAAAGATGTTGTATTAGCGCTAGATAATACAGGAAACACCTACAGGATTATACAGAGCTCTTCTCATTGTTAGTCTAGTCTAATGTAGATGGCGTTACCCATATAGCTGGGATATTCTGTATTACAGCAGAGAACCGATCGAGATTTCGTACGATACGGTCGCGCAATTATAATACTCAAAAACATACTGTTCATAATTAAATATCATGGTGATATAAGGTTCCGTTGTTGACTATACAAATCAAGAGTTTGGTGCTACACAAGAAAGATCCTAGCTAGGCAGAAGATCATGTTTACAACAGTTCCTGTATTCCTGAGACACATGGTGAGTGGCATTTTATCGTTATTACTTTTCTTGTGCCGGTTTGAATTTCATCTCTAAAAATTACAGTCCACTGCATAAAGTCTCGCTCAAACATTGGTTAAGTTAACATGTGAAGTAACATGTGAAGTACTAGGCATCGTTTCTGGTAATGTTGTTTGGGTTTGATTGCTAGAGTGAACATATGCATATGGCACTAAAGCCAAAAACCAACGAATATGTCGAAAATGACCACTACTTGTTTCAATAAGATATGATCGCGGTTCATTTAATTTCTTAACCACTTTTCCATAACAACGCAGATCAGTGATCCAAACACTATCGCCAGGGGAAAGCTCTGACAATTCTTTAACATTGTGCCTTCTATCAAAATCACATTTAAGATTTTCTTTCCTCCTTTCCTCGGTCTCAATCGAAGATTGCGTATTTACTACTTCTTGTAATTTACTTGGTAGAATCGGTAACGTTGTCCTTAACTTTCTCGACATCAGCAATTCAGTTGGACTAAACCGATTTGACAAGAAACTGTACAAATATTTACATCCCATCCATCAGATCCAAATATGGAATGAACTCCATCCATTATAAAGGTATAAAATATTATAATGAATTGCCAGGACAAATAAAAAATCTCCCCTTTCATAAATTCCGAACGGAATTGAAAAAACTGATTCTAGGTAAATAAATAAATAAAAACCAACACTTTCATTCTAATTTCTTTTCTTATTGTTCATTATTATTAATACATATAAGTTATGGGTACTCTAATTCATATGTCTCATCTTGTGCAATCCATGTACTACTTAGCCTGTGTACTATAGTATGTATAATTATCATGTATATTCAACTGTTTTTTGTTATTATTATTATTGTTATTGCTATCATCATTATTATTATTATTATTATTATTATTATTATCAATAGCACTCTTCAGCTTTCTTTCTTTGTTCTTAGCATAGAAAAATGTATATTTTTTCTAATTAGAACAAATAAAACAAAAAAAAACAAAAAAAAAAAAACGTAGCGGGTAGAGGGGGGTTTTGGAGGTTAGGATTGGGGATCGCCGGTTGAGGGCTGGATGTCGATACTTGTTCAAGTTTTGTTTGTAGCTAATTAAAGCTCACTATATGTATGTATGTGGTTTTAATATTCATAGGACAATAATTCAGGAAGTGATTTAAACAGTCCCTACATATGAAACCATTAAAAAGATGATAGTCCTGTCCCGCTTCATTACCATCATGAATCTTGTTTCAGGACTTGTTAGAAGAAACAGAAGAATCACTTCAGAGAATCCTAGACAAACTAGAACTCAAATACTTCAAGTACAAGTTACAGGATGACCCTGTAGCTATGACAATAACCCTTTCGACGGATACTCCATTTACCACGATGGCGGTGGCTGATGATGAAGCAACAGCAACTGCGAAAGCTCTAAGTACCGTTTTTCAAATAATCAATCTTTATACGAGGCTGTGAGATGTGATTCTTTGCTATGGAGTACGAGGTCTGTACGCTGTTTCTGCATGAAATTTATATTGTACCCTACATATTTGTACAGGGTGATTATGGGTCGTATAGATTTGAGAGAAAAAAAATCATGATAAAAGTCGCCAAGAGAAATTGCTGGAAATTATTTTCGAGTTTGTCAAACGTCCGGTAGAGGGCATAACAACCAACACCAAGTAGAAAAATGGAATTTTTTAAAGAATTTTGTCTAATGAAAGTATATCGATGATATCATTTTATTTTAGCAAACTTAGGCTCATATGAAAGAGCATAATTTGCCCTACAAAACGATTATTTGGTTTTGAATTTTTGACTTTTGCTATCGTCGCTAGATGGCGTTAACTGAAATGTTAGCAAATTTTTAAATTTTTTTCAAAACAAAAAACAAATGTAATGGTATATTAATTCTTATATGTTTTAAAAGAGGATACATTTCTCTATAATTTAATGAAAATAATTTACCATCTACCTCATTTTGAACCGTTGATATTGACCAAAATATAATGTTATTACATTAACAAATGGCACGCCACTGTTTTTCATCAAAATAAAAATCAGTTTTGTAATATCTCATCAGTTGCTAACAAAAATAACCTCTTGACTTTTTTTTGTTAGACGAACAGTTTTGGATTGAAAAAATAAAATAGGTTTACATACTGTAAATTAGTATGTTTCGAGATATGGGCGCCCCATGTAAACCTATTTCATTTTTTCAATCCAATACCGTCTGTCTTACGAAAAGTCAAGAGGTTCTTTTTGTTAGCAACTAATAGATTAATAAAACTGATTTTTTTTATAAAAAACAGGAGCGTGCCATTATTTAATGTAATAAAATTATATTTTGGTCAATATCAATGGTTCAAAAAAGGTAGATGATGAATTATTTCCATTGAGTTATAGAGAAATTTATCCTCTTTTGAAACATATAAAAATTAATATACCATTACAACCATTAACATTTCAGTTAACGCCATCTAGCGGAGACAGCAAAAGTCAAAAATTCAAAACCAAATAAGCGTTTTGTAGGGCAAATTATGTTCTTTCATATGAGCCTAAGTTTGCTAAAATCGGCCGTAATAAACGGGAGAAATCTTGGTTTGTTTAAAAAAACAATTGAACTTCCCCCACCGCTTTATTTTGATAGATAAAACAAAACGTTTTAGACAAAAAATGTATAAAAATCTCATTTTTCTACTTGGTGTTGGTTGTTACGCCCTCTACCGGACGTTTGACAAAGTCGAAAATAATTTCCAGCAATTTCTCTTGGCAACTTTAATCACGATTTTTTTTTCTCACATCTATACGACCAATATCTTATGAGACATGGCCGCTCGCTACCCTTAACTGATCACCCTGTACAATACACTTTTCGGTTAGGACGAGTGTAGTGGAGTGGAGTATGGTGAATATATCCTGTTCATTGACATTATCTATTTTGTATAAATCAAGAATTTTGTTGATTTTCAAATAATAAATCTTCATAGAAAACTTCGAGATGTTATTCTTTCTTAGGATGCCATTCTCTAATAGTATATTATACACTTAGGGTGAGAAGTCAGCTATTATCTCAGCGCCGAAGAAAATGTTTAATCACAAGAAATTATTTTTCTTATGCTTCTCACAGTAGCACGGATTTTTTTTCTTCAAGATGGTTGGGGGGTGAGAACCCCCCCAATATTTTCGAATGAAAAATCATTGAGGAATAGGAATACAATATTGAAAAAAGTTGTCTTTCTATTCATAATCAAATGGTAGTCTATTTTATTCAAAATATGAATTGAAACCCCCTATAGCTGAAAAACTGTCCGTTTTTTAGGATTGTCACCCGATGATTTTCTGATCAGAATCATAATATGGACTACATCATATCAAAAATTCAGCAAAATCCACTGATTTTTTTTTTTCATTTGCACCCCCCATTTGGTGAGGAGTAATAATGGATGGAATTCTATTTTTTTTTTTTCGGTTTTCAAAATGTGATCAAACATTTCCTACCACTTTTGACAGTTAGATGGAATTCTTTTTTTTTTCGGTTTTCAAAATAGGAGTAATATTTTTAGAGGTGATTGAAAAAAATAAAAAGTTTTGGAATATCATTCATTTTCTCAGAAATAAATGGTCAATTCGATCAAAATGTGAATTCAAACCCCTCTGTCGAAAAAACTGTCCATTTTAGGGGGTTGGCTCAATGAAAATATTTTATTTCTGACAGTGACATTATAAGCTTATATCGTCATAGTTACGATATCTATAATGAGGGTCATAACTCCCTTGGGATATTAAGGTTCAAAAACTCCCTCTTACCTTTTACAGGTGAAAATGATACAAGAAATGCTTATAAACGTTTATATGTGATGAAAACTAAGACATATTTTCCTTATTCACGTCATTACAAATAATAAATGTACAATTTTCAAATGTTCCCTGAAAATTACTTCCGCCGCTTAAAAAAAAATAAACATGTAACATAGCGACAACCTAGCAACAACCAACAATGCTACAATCAACGCTACCTAATTCAAATATACCAGAAAGGTTATGAATTTAAACATTTATTGCGTTCTAAATATGGACATATTGTTATGGAAATCGGTCAGAAATAAAATTATCTATGTACCACGGGAATTGGCAATTGCTGTCCCTCGGGCCAGAGGCCCTCGGGACGCAAACTTTGCCATCGGTAATTAAGGCCCTCATAATTCCCTTAATACATAAATAACTATTATAGAACCACATGAACTACATCATACCAAAAATTGAGAAAAATTCACCAGGACCCAATTTACCTTAAAAATTTGCGGGTCCTTTCGTACGAAAGCGTAGAAAGGCCACTGTTGTGTGTATTTTATTTCATTTCTATTCTCAGACTTTTTTCTCTGAATTCAGACTTTTTTCTCGAATTCAGACTTTAAAGCCTAAATTCAGACTTTTTTCTTTGAATTCAGACTTTTTTGTCTGAATTTAGACTCATACTACACACCATATATACCGGGTATAACAGGATCATGGTACACCAAACCAATTTGATGAACTTAAAATTGGTGATAAATCAAGAAATTTTACATTTTCGACAGGATTCGATTTTCTTACACCTGACAATATTAGTAGACCAGACTCGATCAGAATAGTCATGGCACACTCAAATGGAAAATCGAAAATGAAATTAAAATCAATATTGAAGTTTGAAATGTCACTTATATGGTATCATTTGACTCCGGAAATGATGCAGAATTTGAAAATGCAATGATATACAGGGTGTTCCATTTGAAATTCGAAAGTTATTACCACTTCCGGTGGGACACCCTGTATAATCGAAATTATTTTCCTGGTATGCGCCCTATGATACAATTGAAGTCTGCAGAATATCAAAATCCTAACTCAACTGATAACTGAGCTATAGAAGACGGGACGGGAGGTCAATTGAGACAAAACAGTCTGAATTCAGAGAAAAAAGTCTGAATTCAGAGAAAAAAGTCTGAATTCAGAGAAAAAAGTATGAATTCAGAGAAAAAAGTCTGAATTCAGAGAAAAAAGTTGGAATTCAGAGAAAAAAGTTGGAATTCAGAGAAAAAAGTCTGAATTCAGAGAAAAAAGTTTGGATTCATAGAAAAAAGTTTGAATTCAGAGAAAAAAGTCTGAATTCAGAGAAAAAAGTCTGAATTCAGACTTTAGTCTGAATAAGGAAATAAAATAAAATACACACAAAAGTGGCCTTCCTACGCTTTCGTACTTTCGTGTTTGTTATGCCCCGCGAAATACTATCTAAGGAAAATATTGAAATATTGAAAATGGAATTCATACCCGTTAAGATGCGTTAAGTAAACATCGTTTGTCGGCAAATTTAGGATACTTAATATTTATTTTATACTTCATTGTAAAAAATGGGGATCATTTCGATCATTGATCATTAACTCTCGAGACGTCAACTAGTAAAGATGTGGCTCCAATAGAATCAGAATAGATCGCGAAGTGCATAGAAGTACCTATCTATAGTGGTTATTAGAATCAGTGCAAGTGAGAAAGAGATTATGGCAATTCTTTCAACTCCCAAGCAAGTTGGTATGTCTTTGTGGTTACATTTAACAGACTACAGAACTGAAAGTGCTATTGACATTCAACATAACTTTCTAACGATAATATAATGGACAGTTTGAAGAAACTATAGTCAGTCAACCTATTAGTGTCAAGGGTTAGGATTTTGTTTAATGAATTAGAAGTATAAGGGTTTTGCAAACTAACTTGATGAGAGGTATCGAAATAAGGGATGATTAGAGAAGTTTTAGCTATTAGTATATGGGCTTAGAGTAGAAGTAGGGTTGAGTTTTGATATAGATAGTTTAACTGAGTGTATTCTTTCAAGAGATTTATGAAGGGAAGTTTATTTGTTGTTTTGGAGAATATTAACGTTGAGTTGAGAGTTTTCATTGTAGGAAAATCTATGGTGAATTAATACTGGTTCACGATTATTGATTGTATATTGATTATATTTGATTTGATGAATTCATAGAATGATTATTTGAGTGTTTAGATATTTTCATAACCTTGAGATATAAGTGAATAGACATCAGAAGTTTGAGTCTTCTGAATATTTGAATTTGTTAGGATTCTGATCGTGAATGTAGTTTATTTCTTTGATTATAGTTTACTAACTAGATATTTGTTTTTCTCCTGCATTCTGCCACCATCATAGTCCGAACCCACACAATTTAATATCTGCTGTAGATTCTACACCCTGTATAAACATACCAGCCGCTCGGTATATAATCTGACAACATCTCCCTTATACAGGGGTGGATCAACACATGTTCAATTTTGTATATTTACACTTTTGAGGTAGTCAGCGATTTCCGAGTAATTCAAGAAAAAATTACCTTCAATCGCATCCCTACTCCCCCGCTCATCTCCTACGGGCCAGGACTTTTAGTATGTTGTTCTTGGCACTTTCCTTTCCTATTCGACCTTTTTTGGCCTTCGTTGATTGAACTAACATTCGTTCGCACATTTTTATCACTATTATTATTACAACGCGGATGCTTAGTACATCAAAGGACCCCGCAACTTTTTGAGGTAAATATGGACTTGGCAACAATTCTCGAGTGGGGATCCAATAACTTGGTAGATTTCAATGCAAACAAAACAAGCATGCTTTTTCTCTAGAAAAGCCGATCTCACTGTGCCCAACATAAGCTTGTCAGGAGTAACCATACCTTCGAAATCCATTTAGATGCTTGGGATTACTATCAGCAAT